GTGCGTGCTGACGCGGCCGGTTGCTCAGGGGAGGGGGCAGCCTGTTGCTGGCGGGGGGAGCAGCGGGCGTGGGGAGGCACTTTTCCTCTGCCTGGCAGCTCTGCGGGACCCCAGTCGGAGCCGGCCCGAGGAGGAGGAGGATCCTAGGACCCAGGTGAGCGAGCCCCGGGAATGCTGCTGCGCATGTGTGGGAGTTGCCTCACCCCGTTCGGTTCGTATCTAGGGATCCGACCTAAGTCGGATCCACGTAAGTCGGGGACTGCCTGTATATGCATCAGATGAAGTGGGTCTTTGCCCACGAAAGCTTATGCACCAACAAATCTGTTAGACCATAAGGTGCCATAGGACTTCTTGTTGTTTATGAATACCTGTGACATTCATTTTCTCTTTAAAATGTTTTGTTGATTTTATTTAAAAAAATGTTCTTAAGGCCAATCTTTGCTTGCCTTACTGATATGTATAGTTTGTCTAAAGTTAATGGGGCTACCCTTCGGAGTCAGGTGAGTAAGATTTGACTCAGCATTCAGAAACACAGTAAATAAGATAGTAGAGTATCTTATGAGATATATAGATATTTTCAGTATACTAGTTTAAATAATTAATTTTTGTATCTGCTACAGAAATTAACAATTGGAAATCTACACTGAACCTTAATAAATCAAACCTAGACTAACTTATGAATTTAAAAAATCAGTTTTTAATGTGAATGCTTTATCATACTGTCACCAGTTAATCTGAAGCCTCTTGACAAATGCATGCATATTAATTCCTTAAAATGCAGTTTTGCTCTGCAAAGTGACTATTCAAAAATGGAAATTTCCTACTCAATACACATGCACCTTGTGTTCAGAATCATAGTTTTCTAAATTTGCAAATATAAGGGTTTACAACTTTTGACACTTATTAATATTGCAGTGCCAATATAATCAAGAATTGAATTCTTTTCACTATGTAAATCATCATTTCAGAGAGGAAAAAGATCTGTGTGGTTATATAACAAGGTGAGTCAGCTCTAGCTTCAATTTCCACCTCTGTGACTGACTTTTTAATGTTATTTTGGACAAGCAACATAAAGCACTGAGCACCCAAATTTCCGAACAACTTCAATGTCAGTGTGGGTGGTGAGTGATTCTGAAAGTCAGGCACTTAACTTCTGTTCAGCTCTGTTCCCCACTCGCTCAGAGAAAAAAAAAGTGCTAATACTTTCCCTATCTAATAAGGTTTCTGTGTGAATAGTATATTAATGATTGCAAAATGCATAAATGCTTTAGTGATGGGGGCCACTTAAGTAGACAGAATTTTTAACTGAGGCCAAACATTTACACTGGCAAAATCTTCTGAAATGAGCAGAATTTCACTGTTTCATTAAAGGCATAGTCTGTCCTTTATTAATGGTGATATTAAACAAAAAAGGAAGAAACTAGTTTAACACTCAGATGTCAGGGTGAGTTTGGAGAGCTAGGAATAAGAAAAATATATCTTTTTCCCTTCTAAAATGAGCACTTTTAAGACTAACACATTAGAGACCACATACATGAAATCCATTACGCTGTTTAACACTGTCAATTTTTAGAGCAGAAATGCTGTTTTGATTAATATCTACAACACAGGTCCTTCGTGTCCTAATGTACATACACAATAGACTATCCAAACTAGACTACCTGATGAGCAAGTTCATGTCCTATCACCATGGTAACCCAAAGTTTGTCAGAAGCCGAAGAAGTCTCAGGATCATAAAGCAAAGATGTCTCTCTGTAGGTGGTCAGGCCCCAGTTCTCCATGGCTCCTGACTGAAAGTCAGGGACAGCAACAAGATCTGAAATATGCGTTGTAATGTAGCACATTTGAATCACTTTTCAAGTCTCACAGAGGAAATACTAAATGGAAGTGTCATTGCTATTAGTTTGATTTGGCTCCCGCTGAAATTGGTGGGAGTGCTGTATTGATTTCAATGGGATTTGATCAAGCCACACGTGAATCATGACAACCACATGCTTAAATAAAAAATGCTTTGATGGCCTATTGCCTTCAATAGCTACAGGAACTAACTTTCATATACAAAGGAAGTACTGCTTTACAGTGGTTCCTGCTGCCAAAAAAATGATCAAAAGTGAAGTATTTTCCTGGTATTGTATAAGTTCTCAAATGTCATCAAAGAATAAATGCTGCCAAGAGAAGCAAGACTTACCCAAAGATACTATTCTATAATTCTTAATCTTTCCAAGAGCACAAGAAAGGATTTGGCCACTGCAAAGTAACTACTTCTGTTTTTCATATTTTTTAAATGCATTCCATAATTTTTCTAATATCTTCATCAATAATTTGGCAAAGCAACCTCAAATATCCCCCTAAGGATCCTCATAATTGTCTAGCCTTAAGAATTCCATTTCCAATTACTCCCTAAATTTATATCTCTCTGGTTCATATATAAAAATAAATATACAAAAGTTAGGGAAATTATGGAACTAATAGGAGGATGCAGGTTATATAACACTGCTCAAACATTTTACTTCTGCTATATGCTTCTTCTTATTCTTCTGTATGTTTACTTTGCTTCCAAGCTCTTCCTGCACAAATCCTACCTTCATATTTTTTAAGCAAACGCTCAAGATGTTATATGCGACATATACACTCCCGTATTCACACCCTAGACATTATTGTAAAAAGTTTTGTACATTTGCCTTATAAGGTACCTTTTGAAAACTCATAAATTGGCAGTTAGTATGGTCCTGGTAAAATATGTGTGGCAGTATTGTATGTGAAGTTATAAGATGCTCCTATATGATGTTATTAACACTTCCCAAGCCTAACAGTACTGCCCAAACACAAGTTAACAAACAGGTCTGTCCTAAGTAAAAGTATGTGTAGTCTGCTTGTTAACTGCTTAAATGCAAGTTAGAGTCATCAAATGCAAAAGACCAAGTTCAAACAGGTGAAAAAAAACACAGCAGGGAGTTTCCTTCCACGTGTACTATCTGGTTCTTAGCTGGAAAAGTTTTTCAACAGAGGAACTGAAACTATAAAAAGGAGAAACAAACACTTCAAGGCCCCTTTCTTTCCCCCTGCTTACCACATGCAGGCTACGTCTATATTGGTATCCCCTTCCGGAAAAGGGATGCTAATGAGACGAGTCGGAATTGCAAATCCGCGGGGGATTTAAATATCCCCCGCGGCATTTGCATTTACATAGCTGCCGCTTTCAAGTAGGAATAAGAAATCCTCCAGAAAAGGGCTTATTTTCCGGAGAATCGCGTCTACACTGGCGCTTTTCTCCGGCTTATCCCCAAGCCAGAAAAAAACGGCAGCCATGTAAATGCAAATGCCGCGGGGGATATTTAAATCCCCCGCGGATTCGCAATTCTGACTCGTCTCATTAGCATCCCTTTTCCAGAAAAGGATGCCAATGTAGACATAGCCCCATTGTACCTGAAGAAACAAAGCAATCAGGTATTGAATTCTGTCAGAAGGGTCCTGACTTACAGAAGTTGGTCAGCAAAGCTGATGAATGTATGTGATGAGAATATTTTCCTTTGATTACAATTTGTTAAGTTAGGCATTAGTAAAGCATTCTACTTTTATTTTTCTTGTGACCATGTCTGTCTTTTATGCCTCATTACTTCTATTCACTTAAACTCTCTCTCTCTTTGTAGCTAATACAGCCGCTCCCCAAGTTACGAACGTGGTCGTAAAGGTGGTCCACGAGTTACAAACGCGACCCGCGCTTATGAACAGCGCGTTCACATGTAACTCAATGGGGTCCGAGTTATGAACGGATCGAGATACAGCCAAGTGTTTGGTCCGTAACTCGTTCGTAACTCGGAGAGAGGCTGTAAACTTGTTTTATCTGATCCTGTGTTCAAGTTGATGCGTTGAGTAACTCCATTTGGGGCAACAAGTTGCATTCATATTACTGCATTAAAGGAATAATGGATTCCATATTTTCACTGTCTAAGAAAGGACTAAGAAGTATGAGATACAGGTCTCTGGGTAGGAAAAAAAATCAAGACTTCACAGGTATTGGGGGGTTCACCTGTGGCAAACTAAGGCTGGTAATGTAAAGATGTAATAGACTAAGGGCATGTCTACACAGCAACATTATTTCAAAATAACTAGCATTATTTTGAAATAACTTAGTCTGCATCTACACAGCAGGCAGTTATTTCAACATCATGTCAAAATACTTCAAGCTGGAAGACTTCTTATTCTGACTTCTGTAACTCTTTTTGTACGAGAAGTAAAGGAAGTTGGAGGAAGAGTGCACTATTTCAAAATAAATGCTGTGTAGACGCTCCCAATTTTGAAATAAGGTACGCAATTAAAATAGTTCAATTTGCATAGCTTATTTCGCGTTAGGCCCTGCTGAGTAGATGCACATATAGATGTAGATCCCCATACAGACATAACTGGGAGTGACTTACATGCTAGAATCTGTATGTGAGCAGCAAGGCATTGTAAAGGGCATCCCAGTTAGAGGGCAGGAGTCACTCAGCTACTCATTAGTCTGGATTGTACCCTGCTATGTCATATTACAGTATATAAATAAGAAACAATAAATATAATGGGCTCAAGTTTACTATCCATTTACAGCCTCCTATTTTATTGGACATTAGGCATAGTTTTTATCTAATTACCTTGTTTAGGAAGAGGGTAATAGATATCAAAATATTGCTCATAGAATTCCAATATCTTTATGGCAGCTTCCAGTGCATAGTGAGCTTGATTCAATTTCTCTGGAGTAGCATATACTGATACCTGTTGAATAAATACAAGTACATGGCTTAAAGTACAATGGAGCAGTTGTTTGGCTGCTTTTCATTTCCTTTGAATTTTAAGAATGCAAAATGCAGAGTAAGAACTGGGCTGGATAAGCAAAAGGACTAGGGCCGTACGGCAGTCAATGTTTCAATGTATAACTTTTAGCTGCCTAAAATAAAAATCACTGAAACAATGATGCAATGCACAAAGACTGAATCAGGTGCTTAGGTTCTCTGTACAATGGGGACAAATAGGTGTCAAGGAATACTAGTCACAAAACCCAGTATACTAGACAGGGAGCCACTGAAAATAGCCAATGGGAGATGCTGAGGAAAGGGATGTATTCTAAACCCCACCCCTCACAGAGGTAGGCAGCAGGGAAGTAATTAACTATGCTGGTAATCCTCAGCCAGACGTCTCTCCAGGCATCAGGTGCTTAGCCACTTAAGTCACTCTTATGAGAATGAGTTAGTTACATTCCTTACTTCACAAAAAAAGGAGTCACACAAGGAGATGGTGGTGCTTTCCCATACAACTTTTAGTGCCCAGGTTAGAGCACTCACCTGGGATGTGGGAAGGGCTGTCCCTGCCGTACCCCACTTCACCCTTTCCCCCAGACCTTGTTCCTGCTCTGCCCCACTTTGCATCTTCCCACCCATGCTCCACCCTTTCCAATGCCCACTGCACCCTTTCTCCAAAGGCCCCTTCCCTGAATGATGCAACCTAGATGATTACTGGTGGGCCTTGCGGAGGGTGGCAGCAGGGGTCAGGCCACGGCACTCACTATGGCAGCCAGAGGCATGGGAAGTGAAACAACCCAGCAGCCTGCTCTGTTCCACTGCCCATCTCCCAGACAGGTTGCTCCGCTTCACCGCAACAATGGAAAGTGAAATGAACCAGACCCAGCCTGCTGTGCTGTTTTCTCAAGGCCACATCACTCAGGACAGTGGATTGGACTGGGGCCAGGATGCTCTTCTTCCCACCACTGCAGTGAAGCAGAGCAACCCAGCTGGGAGATGGCAGCAGAATGGAGCAGGCTTTTGCATCTCTTTGCTTGCCATGGTGAGTCCAAGGTAGCCTGACCCCTACTGCCAGCCTCAGGCTCCCCAGGTAATTGCGCAGGCTGCCCAATATCCTATGGGTTACCCTCCATATGGGGACCATCCTGTCTATAGGATGACTGGGGCAACCATCGCTTCTCCCGCCGTCCCCCCGCACCCGCCAAAAAAAAAGCATAGTGCCCGGGGTGATTGGTCTTAACAGTCCTATGGACAGGACGGCTGTGGATGTGGGAAACGCAGATTAACTCCCCCAGTCTACCTGATGACTTGAACAGGGGTCCCTCACCCCAGTCAGGTGAGTGCCCAAATCACCTATGGGATATTTGGAGATAGAACTGCCTGAATCTCCCCTTCTGAAGCTTATTCACTTTGGACAGATTTTTAAAAGTCTTTGAGAGAGAGAGAGAGGAGAGAGAGAGAATGATTCTGTAGCACAATGGCTAGGGCATCCACCTGTCAGGTGAGAGACCTAAGGTCCAATCCCCCTGCTTCAACTAAGTATATATCCAAAGTAGAACCACTTCAAAAGGAGATACTGACATCTGAATAGTCTGTAGCACAGTGGGTAGAGCACTCTATTGAGAGATGTGGAAGACCCTTGTTCAACTCATCTCTCTCTCTGTGCATAGAAGGCAGGCCAGGGAAGAGAACTGAACCCAGGTCTTCCACATGCCAGGAGAGCGCGCTAATCACTGGACTAACAACTATAATGCAGGTGATGATGGCAACAGCATCTCTTCCTCCTGCCAGATTCTGAATGGGACCTACTTGATTGGGTACCACAGCTGAGATGGTTCCTGCCTCACACTGAGGCTTAGGTGGAAGACACACATCCAGATTTTCAGAACAAGACAGCAGAGCACATGCCAAGAGGCAGAAACTTGGGCAACTTTGACAGAGAACATAGGTAATTTTTACAGAAAAAAATATAGGCGCTGAGTAAGTTTAGGCACCTACAGGATGAGCAGGCAGTGAGCACTGTTTATGTGGATTGCAGTTATGCCTAAAACTGGGACTTAGATGCCTACCACCTTTGTGTATCTGCACCTCTGCCATCTTGCTAGGGCAAGAGGAAAGTTTGTACTTGTCCAGATCCCATGGGTAAAATATGTTGTACTGAGAACACACCAATAAAAACCAACACTCCATACCTTCTTATAAACTTTCTGGATTTTCAGTAGAGGTGCTTGATGAGGTCTATTGGTTATATTGTGGATTTTAGTTGGGAGAAACCCTAGATTTGATTCCTAAAAGTTCATCAAAGGCCACAGTATTATGTAGGCAGCATGCCCAAACTACTGGAAGGAAAAAGTTCCAGAGGGGTAGCTATGTTAGGGTATGTCTACACTACCCCGCTAGTTCGAACTAGCGGGGTAGTGTAGACATACCCCTATAGAGCACTTGTCAGCCCAGGAAGGGGAGCCTACTAGAGGAACTGAACCCAGTTCTGTCATAGAGCACCCCAGAGCACTAATTAATGGCTTATCTGGTTGCTGGCAAAAAACTGTTTCCACTTTTATTTTATTCTCTCTTCCTCTGGCCCCCCGCTCCTGCCCCTCTACTCCACATAACCCAAATCCTCTGTCCCCTCCTGCACTCATACCCCCCAGACCCTGTATCCCAGGCTATGTCTACACTACCCCGCTAGTTCGAACTAGCGGGGTAGTGTAGACATACCCTTAGTCTGTAAATGAAAAAATTTAAAAAGCAATGCATAGTCCTGCAGCACCATAGAGACTAACAAAAAAATGTAGATGGTAAAGTTAGTTGGTTTCCACTGTACATTGTTGGCCCTTTCAACAAAGTAAAGACCATGGTTAACAAGTTCTGAAAGTAAATCCAGTTGTTTAGTGAGTGATCTATGCTGGCCTTGGAGGAAAGGGAAAGGATGGTTTCTCAATTAAATATATATTCACCTTTAAAACCTACCTTAATTCCAGACGAAGTTGTACCACTGACTGACTGGAAATCACTAACTATAAATGCAACCAAGTACGTGCTCATTTTTACACTTTCTGCAAAGTGATCTTCAAACAGATTTGTGTCTAGATGTAGAGTTTTTACCTGGAAAACATGAATTGGGACAGGCTTTAGTATATACAGGCAGTCCCCGGGTTACATGGATCCGACTTACATCGGATCCCTACTTACAAACGGGGTGAGGCAACCCCACACTAGCTGCTTCCCCCCAGCAGACCAGGGAGACGCGGAACGGCTTTTCTCAGTAGACACCTCAGCTTGAGAATAAAGGACTGAGGGAAGTGAGGTTTGGGAGAATAAAACTGAGCTCTGGAGAAATGTTTGGCTAGAGTTTCCCCTACAATATGTACCAGTTCCGACTTACATACAAATTCAACTTAAGAACAAACCTACAGTCCCTATCTTGTACGTAACCCGGGGACTGCCTGTAGATGCATTTAAATTTTCAATAAAACTGCCAGTGGTTCTTTGTAAATCTGTTTAACATACATTAGCCAATGTGAAAGTTAAGGGGGAAGAGAGTAGATTCCCTAGCCACCCTGTAGCTGAAGAATAGAATAAACAGACCAATCGTTAGCTTAGAGATTTTTTTAAGTTTAACATATAACAAGAATGTAGGATTTGCTATTCTAAATAATCAAACTATTAGTTCATCAAATCAAAGTATCCTGACTGTGACCTGATATTTAGAGGAAGGCACATAAATGTTTTTGAAATGTTCCTTCCTTCTTTGCAAAATTCCTTCCTGTCCCCCATTATTAATTAATGAGTTTATGCCCTACCGCACATTCAGATTTTAAGGCCATATAGTCTTTACTTCTTGTATAACACAGGCCATGAGATCTGATTACTGTCATTTTGGCATGTGTAATTACAGATGCTGCTAAAGAGATCACAAGATTATGCCTCTAAAGTATCTGCCTCTGACATTCTACAGCAGTGAATTCCTCAGGCTGATGCTGAATGAAGAATTATTTGCTTGAATTAGTTCTATATACTCCCTTATTCTTATATTATGGACACAGCAACTTTTTGCATGATACAATGAAACCACAGGCCCATTTTATATGGTCTCTTATCAACACATGGAGAGCAACCACCAAATAAAGAAAGGAAGAAAACATGTTTATGGGTGCAAAGCACTTGAAAAAAATCACCTTTGGCATATTAGATAGTGCAATATGTTGCCCATCCCTCCGAATCTTTATTGTATAATTTGCCTTAAAGGATGGCTCATCAAAACATGGAAATGCCATGCGGGCTGAAGTAGGTTCAAAATGAGTAGAAGCTAACAATCTGAAAGGAAAAGCAAATAGCAGAATTTGATAAAGAAAAATACTTTCCTTGCAAGGTAAATTAATAAACCAAAATTCATTCAACAATGACTTGATAATCTATAAAGAAAATTGCTTGAAGAAAGGAAATCTAAACAGTAAGGTAGCCACAGGGATTTTTCTAAGCACTTAGCTGATTCTATACTTGAAGCACCATGGTGCAAATGCTCAGTGATATTTAGGGACCTAACTACCATTGATTCAAGTATTTTCCTGTCGATTTCAATTAGAGTTAGGCACCTATATATCTTTGAGAATCCTGTCATTTGTTGTAACTGAATCAGAGGAAAAAACTGTATTGTAACCAAGTTCTCTGACCCTGAAAAAAAATTCAGGTTCTAGGTTACAATACAGAAACAGAGTGTAACTATGTATCTATGCTGCCTCTGAAGATATTTTTGATTCTTCAGAATATCATGTAATTGGATTACAGAGACTTGGTGGGTGAGGTAATATTTTTATCTCACCAAAAGAAGATGATCTGATAAGACAAGATTTCAAGCTTGTCTCTAACAAAAACTGATCCAATATAAGATATTACCTCATCCACCTAGTTTTCTCATATCCTGGGAGCAAAATGCAACAAACCACAGAATAACACATGAATCTGATTGTCAGGGAAGTATTAAAGGAGCGAAGATTCTCTTACTCCTCACCCTTGGAACAATTAGTTAGGAATTACTTATAAACTCAGACAGACATTGCTAACTCTAAGATTCTTACACAATCACATACTGTAGTAGAAAGTGATCCCTCTTATGAAAAGTTTATGAAGATCTTTGCATCCTTATCTGCAAGGACTAAAATTTTCATAAGCATCTAAGTGATTTAAAAGTGTAAGCCCCACTGAGTTTCAATGACTGCTGATTGATATTTCCACTGCTTGAAGTTCACGTCTCCCTAGAATCAAGATTAGAATGTGGAATTGACATCTACACTCCAGATAACATATTCACTGCACAGAACGTAGTATTTTATCCTAAAAGTATATTAACTGAAATTGATATCATAATTAGTTCTTATGGCATCTATTTAAATATAGCTTTAGAATAACTTTTGGATTGTGTTGTTGCTGTATTTTTTTAACTTTTGCATAAAAATCACCATTAACAAATAATTAATAAATTAATATTAAAGAGTATATTGTTTCTGTTATGAAAATTAGACTTTAAAAAATGCTTTGGAAAAAATCTGTTCCTGTATTGTAATAGAAGACCATTGCTTTAATAGAGAATGGGAGTCATTATATGAAGAGTTTAGTACAGGTAGTCCCCGAGTTACGCGGATCCGACTTACGTCGGATCCGCAGTTACGAACAGGGATTTTCTCGCCCCAGAGGACTCGAGCGGGCCGCCCGCCTCCTCCGGGGCGAGAAAAGCTGCTCCCCGTCTCCCTGGTCTGCTGTGGGAGCCAGCAGACCAGGGAGACGCTGAGCAAAGCGGCGCAGGACCCGGGGCTGGACCCGCGGCCGCTTCCAGATCAGCTGGAAGCGCTGCGGGTCCGGCCGGGTCCTCCGCCGCTTTGCTCCGCGTCTCCCTGGTCTGCTGGGGGGGGACGCAGCTAGTGACCCCCCCTCCCCAGCAGACCAGGGAGACGTGGAGCAAAGCCCAGGGCCTGTGGTAGAGCAGGTGGGACGCTGCCGGTTGGTCCCACAGCACCGCTCCTTGGCGCTACTGGACCACCCCGGCAGCACCCCAGCTGCTCTGCCCCAGGCGTCCCCAAGTTACCGCTGCTGATCAGTTTCAGCAGCAGCTGAATCAGGAT